GATTTAATCAAGATTAGAGAAAAGCAGCCATAGAGGTGAGACAATGTGTTTTATTTAGAGCTGTGTAAAAACAATGATCCTGTAATTTAAAAAGTGTATAAATGGCTTTTGAAATTAGAGATAGAAGATGAGTGTATAAAAGAGTACATGATAAGGTGGGCCCAAAATTTTGGTCATAATGTCCATATGAATGTATGGGGGAAAATGTTGTCCAAAAATATAAAATTTACTTTATGCAGTAATTGAAAAGAAAACCTGTATAAAATGATAGATAAATGGCATTTAATTCCAGATAAGCTATCAAAAATGACTCAGAATGTTTCAAATCAATGTTGGGGGTATTGATATAAGGAGAGTGACTTTTTAATCTGTGATGGACTTGTAAGAAGATGAAAATTTACTGATCTAAGATTTATATGTTAATTCAAAAAAATGCTAAAGGTAGATTTTGTAATGTTGCCAAAAATGTTTCTGTTGGCATTATGGACAAAGAATTTTGAGCAAATATGGATCACTTCTTTGATATATGACAACAGCAGCAAGAATATTGTTTGCTCAAACTTGGAAATGGACTGAAGCACCAACAATAGAAGAACAGATTGTTAAGGTTGCTGAGTTAGCCCAAATGGCCACATTCACATGAGTTTGAAATTATAAGTCAATTGAAGACTCTTTAAAATTTAGAAATAATTTATGGATTATGGCGTTAGGCAGTGACCCCCCTCCCACAATTCCCCACTTACTGGGAAGCAGCCACTGTGATCAATGGGGGGCTGTTCAACCATTGCTCAGGAAGCAGCTGGCTGTCATTTCCACCCCTTCCCATGAGTGATTTCTGGTGTGTCAGGAAGATAGGGTCTACATCATAATTCTCCCTTGTGGTGGAGATCACTTGCTTGAGAGGGCGTTGAAACAGCAGTCAGCAGTCATATCCCACAGAACAGCTTGAAGCATTCAAAATTGCCCTCTGTCCATTTTGGAAAAGAAAATTTGTTCTTAGAAATTAAGTTTGTACTCCCTTAAAGGTGATGTCATTGCTTTCTATCCAGACAGAGGTCACAAGACTTTGGCTATGATATTGTCCCTGTAAACCAGGATGGGCATCATGCAGCCTTTCAGATGTTGCTGGACTGAAAATCCTAGCATTCCTTATCATTGCAGCCCAACATCTTTTAGGACTGTTTGATTCCAATCCCAGCTGTAAACCTTAAGGACAGCTCTGAAAAACTGACTCCATTTACTGTAAAGTTTGAGATAATGTGAATTCTCATTGACTACAGCTTGTTTGATATGGATTTTCCAACTTAAAGAGAAATGGAAGAGAGTGCCTAAAGATTTCACTGTAATCTTATAAATATAGCTCTACTGTAATGGTAACACTACAGTTTTAGCCTTATCAGAATTTGTAACAAGCTTTTCACTTCTACTCTCTGGATTGCTTTAAAACGCTTCTAAAGTCCACCAAAGAATGTACTGCCCTTTCATGGTACATCTGTTCCCTAAAGCAAATGCCTCCCTGTACCCTGCTAATGGCTGGGCTAGCCTTGAAAGCAACGGTTCAGCATCATCTGCATAGAACAATAATATGCCTTTCCATCTAATATACAAAAAAATAATAATGCTTAGATAGGCATACCTCAGTCAACAAAGCCTGAGACAAAGAAGCTTCTTTTTACAAAGTCTTTTTGTAGAGGAGTCCAGCCCAGCCTGCCTTTTCTTGCCTTCTTTCTAACCAGACGTTTTTTTTTTTTATCAGCATTGTGAGTGGAAGAATAGAGAAAGAGGGATGAGGAAAGTATTTCAGCGCTGGATTGCAGCCGTGAGTCTATGGCAAACAGTACAATAAAGCTTGACTGGGATTGTAGCCTAGGTAATCCTACTATAGTTCTGAGTGTTTATGTACAAGAGGCAAGATACACAGCATTTTCCAGAATCACTTACTGAGCATGTGTGAAGTGCAAAATAGAAAGAAAAGCAAAAAAACATATTAGCCTACCTCGCTAGTTTCCTCTGGCATGTTGAAAAAGCATAGATCTTTAAGATTTGCTACCAAAATAGAAATCACAAGAAAAATGGAGGCTGTTGTAAAAAAATAACAATAACAATAACAACAATAATGAGGATGCATTTTGGAAGAAGTTTTCATATGGTCTCTAAAAGTTGTTTGTTTGTTTGTTTGTAAGTTATGCAAGGCTTACCTGACCAAATTGTTTCATTTTGCATGTGCATAATATTATTTTTGTCTAAAAGGGTTACTGAAACCTGTTGAACTGCTTTCCTTTTTTTATGGTGTAGGAACCTCTGTTCTTTCCATGTCATTTCTACCTCTTGTACTACTGTAGTTTCCTTTAAAGAAGTAAAGCCCAGGAAAACATTTGTTTTGTCCACTGCAATATATCTGTACACAGAAAATCAAAGCATAGTGGTATTGAGAACACTGTATAGAATAAATCTTATCAGTTTCAATGAGACTTTACTTCCAAACATACTATCAGAAAATAAAATACATCAAATACTATGCAGGTACTAATGATTCATTTTTTAAAATTATATTTGGCTGCATGTGCTTTACAGTGTTATCTGAAATGTAACATGTTGTTTTTGTCATTTTTTAAAAAAAACCACAGGTTAATATACTATATTTGACAAGAGAGAAGTGATTTATATGATCAAAACTGGTATCAAATACAAGTTTGACTTCAGTAGGATATTTTGTTGCATGTATAATTGAGGAGGAAATTTGAAAGAAGAATAAAGTGAAAGCAACATGAGAGAACCAAGTTTATTTGCTGGAAGATTGTGCAATACAGAACAAGAAAGTTGAATGTAATATGATCTAATGTAATATATTCATTGATTAAATGTATATCCCATCTTTCTGCCCAAAATGGCACTCATGGCTCAGTGTACACCAAATACCATCCAGTCAAAGTTGAGCTGTTTTAAATTTATGCTTTTCACAGACAGATAAGCATTCCCTTTTAAACTGTTTACCTTTAGCTGTATTTGTGACCAGCTATTCAAACAAGAATTAAAAAAATCTGCTTGGAAATTGTGCCATACAAATGACATTGAAATTAAACTGGGATGTTGTTCAGCAGATTTCAGTGGGATTTGTGCAAGAGAATTTATATATTGCAGGTTCATCCCATTCATCCCACCCAAACAGGTACCAGCAGGTTAAACTGTTCTCTCCCCACCACACATATTTCATCCTCACAACAAACCTGTGGAGTAGACTAGGCTGAGAAAGAAGACCAAGACACTCAGCCACAGTGCTCATCTGGTGTGCTGGATGAGTAGAGATTTGAACATAGACTTTCCCTATTCTAATCTGACATTGTGGTCTAAGCATTACAACAGGCATAGGCAACCCCGATACTCTCTCTCTCTCTCTCTCTTTTGAATTAAGACTCTCATAATGCCTAACCACTGGACATACTGGCTGGAGCTGAGAGAAATTGTCATACAAAACATCTGGAAAGTATGAGGTTGCCTATCCCTGCACTGCACCATGCTAGTGCTAACAGTGGACTCTGCCAATGGTCAGCATAGGCAGTTAGTGCATAGTTAATCACAAAAGAGAAATGACAATGTCATCTGTGGATACTCTGGTCTAGTTTTTAGTGGTGATGAAGAAAAGGGGACATTAATCAAAGTCAGTACGACCTCATTGATGTTCTTTTTTTATTATTGTTAGCTTTCGCTCTGTTTTGCATTTTGAAAACTGGCCAGTAGTCACACATGCCTATTAAATGAAAAACAGGGAAATGAAGCATTCAGTTTCTGGTAAGTGAGACATCAGTCCATTTCGGGGAGGGGGGGAAAAAGACAACAAAGCAGTGACTAAAAATGAGCAAACTGGAGCAAGAATGGCGTTAAAATGGACTGCGAATGCAATTTATGAGAAATTCTATGGCAGGTACTAACAGGCAAATGACAATAAAGAAGAATCTTTGCATGCAGGGAAACACACCCCCTTTAAAATTGTAATTAGAGTTATGAGCACATGTCTGTGAGTTTGTTATAAGTCTTCAATATAGAACTGGTGAGAAAGTCATGAAAAAAAATCAGCAGCTAGTAAATGAGCAGAGAAAATTCTAGAAAGAAATAACGAATAGCATTAAAAACAACTTTATGCAATTGTTAGTTGGACATTCAGAAATGCAATCTGTTAGGCCTCCTTCAAAAAGATAATCCTCATTTTAATCTATTATTATTATTATTATTATTATTATTGCATGAAGGTAAACAGGGAGATATTGTTTAAAGCATGTTGAAAATTGATGTACATTAATTCATGTGGCTAGAGAAACATTTTGACTGAGAGGAACAAATGCTCAGATCTTGTGGCTATTCCATTATGGTTTCTATAAACTGATGTTATGAACAGAGCTTGGCAAAGTTACTTTTTGGACATAACCTCCCACAATGACTCAACAAGAATAGCCACAGGGAGTTGGTGGTTTAATTTTTTAAAATTTTTTTTAGTTTTGCCACAGGATGGGTTCTGTGCACTTTACCCCATGGAGGTTGACAGTGCCCTTGAAATCTGATACTTACGAACTGGGAGAAACTCAACTGTTTTAGCCTCTGTACAAGAGATCCAGAATGGTGTAATGGTTTCACTATTGGACTAGGACTTGGGAAGACCAAGGTTCAAATCTCTGCTCAGCCTATGAAATCCATTGGGTGGCTTTGGGCAAGTCACACTCTAAGCCTCAGAGAAACGTAATGGTAGACCCTCTCTGAGCAAATTTGCCAAGAAAACCCTAGGATTGGGTCACCATAATTCATAGTCTACTTGAAGATGTAACAAGCATTATAAAGCAGTGAAATGCTTGTTGTTGTGTGCCTTCATGTTGTTTCTACTGTCGTGATCCTAAGGTGACTCTATCATGGGTTTTTCTTGGCAAGATTTGTTCAGAGGGGGTATTTGTCTTTGCTTTCCTCTGACACTGAGAAAGTATGACTTATTCAAAGTCACCAGTGGATTTTCATGGCTAAGCGGGGATTTGAATCCTGGTCTTCAGACTCGTAGTCTAACACTCAAACCATTATACCACACTGGCTCTTTCTAAAATGTATGTCTTTTTCTTTTGTTCTACCATATAAAAGTACCAAAATTCCCTTTGTCTCAAAACTTCACATATTTTCATTTACTGTGTCTGATTTCCTCCATAAAGTCCTACACTGCAGCCTCATGGTAGCATTGAGGTGACCTGGGCCTCTTGAAAGCTATGTCAGAAGAGACCAAGTTTTTGGATATTGTATCCAACTGGTAAGTCTTCTTGTAAGGCTTGGTGGTATACACTGTGTTTGCCATTTGGGGACCAGTGAGGATCATAAACAGAAGGTTGGCCACTGCAATCATGGATGAATTGACCACTACAAACATAGAATTATTGTAATCTATGATTATGTGCATTGATAAAATCCCTGATCTTCAAAGTATCTGATTTATTAGACAGAAACAAGTGAAAGCAATACCATGCTAGCTGAATGCTCAGGCAATAGCTATACACATGGGACATCAGTAATATATTCATATGTCACTTATGCATATATTACTTATTAAAAGCATATGCCACTTAGGATGCATCTACACTTTAGAAATAATGTTGTTTGACATGACTTTAACTGCCATGGCTCCATCCTACAGAATCCTAGGATTTGTAGTTTTGTGAGGCACCAGCACTCTTTGGCAAGAAAGATCTCGCAAAATTACAAACCCCAGGATTCCATAGGATTGAGCTACAGCACTTAAAATGATGTCAAATTGCATAATTTCTACCATGTAGATGCACCCTCTATATTGCAAAGAGTGTTTATATTTAAATTTAAAACACAGGCACACTGAGCAAACAAATTTCCTAATCCATAAATCACCAATATGATTCCATAGGAATCAGTTTTGAAAATGTTTTATAAATATGGGAGAAAGGCTACAGATGGAGCAAGACACAGCTGTGAATGGTGTGTAAGAAAGATAAGTAAAGGGACTTGTGAAACTCTTTCCTCTCTTCTACCCCTAGTAGAGTATTTATTGTTGAAAATTCAGTGGGCCTATTTGTAATGAAGGAACAGTTCTACCTGTGTTTCACCATCTGCTTCAACTGCCTCTGCAAGCTGCCTCTGGGCAGAAAATAATGAAAGGTTCTGATATGTTGAACTCTATCTTCTCAGTTTGGCATGGAGATGATTTCTAAAGTGTACCAATGTTGTTGTTCATTAGTGAAAGAAATCATTCAGAAAATATGGGCTGCATCCAAATAGCAGCCATCCAATCAACCACCTCCATATCCTTCAAAATTCAGACAGCAAGCTTAGGAAGGCTTGTGGAGGTCCTGGAAATTTGCCTTAGGCCTATGGCAATCAATGTGTGAGAGAAACTGCTGTGTGTGTATGTATGTGTGTATGTGCCTTCAAGTCATCTTGGCTTATGGGCAACCCCATAAATTTCATAAGGTTTTCTTAGGCAAGGAATACTCAGAGGTGGCTTTGCCAGTTCCTTCCTCTGAAATATAGCCTACAGCACCTGGTATCCCTTGGAGCTCTCCCATCCAATTACTGACCAGGATTGACCCTGCTTAGCTTTCAAAATTAGATGAGATCTGGTGCCTTTAAGGTATTTAGGCCATGTCCTTACAGAAATATGAATACCTAAGGCACTGACACATCCAAGGAAACCTTAAGCAACCCTGCCAGGTGATTTGGAAGGGTCATAGGAGTACACCAAGGCTCACTCTTTAGCAGCATTTCATGGTTCTGACACACCCAGAGCTGCATAGAACTGCTTGCTCCTGCATTAAGCACTGGCCATTCTGCCTCCATAAGAAAACCAGTGCTCAACAATAAGCCTTCCATTTGTGGAACAAGCAAAATGTATGGCAGTAGAGAGGGATAAATTCAGAGCTTAGAAATATTAGTTTTTTGAATTATAGAACCCTGGAAGATGTAGTCCAAAAAGTAACATCTAGAATCCTATGAGTAGGTATGGATGTGTAACCAAGACTTATGCATTTGTGACTGCTTCATATTCACAAACCTTATGTATCCCTGCATTTGGCCGGATTTGGCATTTGGAAGTGTGAAAGTCCTCCAGTCTCCAGTTAACCAGGCATCTGCTATGATCAATGGGGTCTGTTTCCCTGTCACTTGGGAAGTGACTGACTAATGTTCCCACTCCCTTGCATGGGCAATTTCTATTGTAATGGGCAGAAACAGGGTCCCTGTCGCTGTCCCTCCTTGCAGCAGAGATTGCTTACATGAGGGGGAGAATAGGACTGTTAGTCAGTTGCTTCCTGACTGACAGAAGAACAGATCCTCATTGACCACAGAAACTGTTGCTTGTTGGCCCAGGACTCATTATGCTGCTATGGAACTACTGTGGTTTTATAGCCATATAGTGCACAGATGATTCTGGTCAACATTTCCAAGCTCCAGAAACCAGTGTTAGACCCATTGAAAGAGTACCCATCAGTGGAACTTCATATAAGTAGTGACTGACAAGACTCATCCAAATCAGTTGAGCCTAACATTGGATTAGGCCCAAGTATTTCAGCTTTGCTTTCTCCCAAGTTTAACCTTTTAAAACTTTCAAGTTCTTTTTGCATGCTTCCAACATTTCACATAAGGCGAAACAATCCAGAGTGTGGTCAAAATGTCAAAATTTATTAATGAGAACACACAAGCTAAGAGGGATTTCAGCAATTTGCTTTTGCCTGTGTTTACTAGGAAGGGCAACACCAGACCCCCTCCTCCCCCTGACCCCCTCCTGAGTCAACTGAGGGCAAACCACCTTTGCAGTTTCATTTTAGTTCGTACCAATTGAAATAAAACAAAGGGAGGAAATGGAAGGAGAAAAAAGAAACTGGAACATTTTACAAGCAGCTGAAAAAGTAGGACAACAGAGAATTAATTTGGGACTGTCCCTATCAAATTGGGAAAGTTTCTGTCTGATTTATGAAGAAAATTGTGAACTTGGGGATTTCTTATCAACAAATGAATCAAATGCAATTCTCACCCAGTATATACAGCTGTTCACAACAAGGAAAAAGACTTTGCTACCTGCATGTCATGTGGCTGTTAAAGGTGGGAGGAAAGAGTTGGCAACATTAATTCAGCAGTATAAACTCTGATGCATATAGAGAGAATCAAATGTAAAAGACGGAGCATTGGAAAATATTTTGTGTCAATTTCTGCCAGGTTTTTTTTTGGGGGGGGGGGAGAGACATATAAATGTTGATGAGTTTGTATGGGGGAAAATGTACTGAAAGTTTTCCACTCCTCCCCACTTAAGCAATTTGGGATGGAGTTGAGGCTCAAGATTCTGTCTCATCTATCTACCGCTCCCAAAGCCCTTTGGCCTTCACATAGCCAGCTGTGTTAATATAACCCTACACTTCTAATATGATAAGATAATGATCAACAGGCAGTGCTGCAGAGAAGGTTTTGTTCCATTTGCCAAGCACTAATACATAGCACTAGTCATATCTGTACAAGCTACTCTGTGTACTATTTCAGCAAGGCATCATGAAAGGACTGGAATCACCAATGGATTTAAATCAAAACGGTTGACCAGCTGCATATTTAAGCAGTTGAGAGCTTTATTAAACAGATCCTCTGTAAACTCTGTCCAAAATAATGAAGGAAAGAGGAAATGCTAAGGAACACAGTGACAGTGGTGGACTCAGGCCTGGCTTCCTGACGCTGTACATCTAGGATGATTCATCCAACTCCAGCTGGCTTAGCAAGTGAGAGAAGGAGGTTTGGAAACAATGTTATGCTAAGCTAAAGTCTGCACAATTAATACTGAAGAAAACTCCCCACATTTTTTCTCCCCCCCCAGGAAAATGCCAAGAAGTAGTAAACCCATTTACAAACCATAGTTTAAGGTGACCAGCTAGAAAAACTTGGTTCAAACTAATGAACAATGCATGCAAATACATACAGACATTGCTATTTGTGGCAACACACACACATGAAACATGGCAACAGGATTTACACCAGGAAAGAGGCAAATCAACCGGCCCATTACTTTCCTTCTCCTGCTCCTGCTCAAAAGGGCTCCACTACTTTGGAGTGTGCTGGAGTCTCCTTTGGAGGTTTGTAAAAGAGAGGCTGGATGGCCATCTGTTGGGAGTGCTTTGACTGGGTATTCCTGTGTGACAGAAGGTTGGACTGATGGCCTTTGTGGTCTCTTCCAACTATATGGTTCTATGAACTACACTACCAATCCCAGGATTTCATAGGATGGAGACATGACAGTTAAAGTAGTATCAAACTGTAAGGAGCTTCACAATGAGGATGAACCCTTAGTCTCATGTTCGCTAACCAAAGTATTTATAACACTATGAAGCGACATATGGGCAACTGGTGTAGTCCCTTTCCTTGTCTCTTTACCCATTATCTTTCCTTCTTGAACAAAAGTGATTCAGTCTTGAAAATGTGATCCACAAGTACTCCATGTGTAATCACTGAAAATTTAAGAGATTCTGAAGGCAGCAGCAAAAGTCCCATCTCTACACAGAGAATACTCCTTTTACAGTCTCATGTTCTCCATGAGTTGGAAAAACTGAAAGCAAGACTGACAACTGAAACACAAAGATAATAAAGGGAGAGGGAAGAGATAATCAAAGGACACTATCAAAACCAGTAGCAATTGTGAAGAGTACAAATCTGACATCCTCATCAAAGGAATTAACACTGCACTAGACCTCTTGTCTCTTACAAGGTTGTAAATCAGCATAAGTGAAAGGGAAAGAATGGCTCCAGTTCTTGCCAGTAGAAACAGGAGGGGAAAATGTTTGGATTGCATGCAAAGTATCTTAAAATTACACAAGAATTAAGCTTTTATCCGCAGCTTTTAGGGACAGCTTGCACTTCCTTCTTGTATTGTCTTTTATTCTAGTGGTATTGTCCCAGTCATTGATTGCCAATCTGTTGGGGAAAGGGAAAACAATGGGCATGTGTGGATATGCTTCTTATTATAAGAATATAACAAAGGCTTGTCACCCAGAGCACCTTCCTCATAGTTTTGTGTAACAACCCTTAGTATTCAGATAGTAGG